TGGGCCAGGGTGCCCGCTTTTGCTCTGCCACTTGCCCACCGGCCGCCCGCGTGGCTCTGGGCCTCAGTGTCCCGGGGACAGGCCTCGGTCCCTTTTTTCTGAGCCGAGGTTGGCGGCCTTAAGGAATCCGGTGTTGGGCAGTTCGGCCACAGCAATCACAGCGACCTCGAGAAAGAACGGTTAGTCCACACAGTGACAGCGACCGCGACTGTTAACCCTTTCGGCGGGTTCACGACGTGCTGAGCTCGATGTCAGCTCTCCCCGGACCTCGGTTGAGAATTTCCGAGGTGACACTGGACATGATTTTGGGTAGAACGTGCATCGGAAAGTATTTACTTAGTCACCGAGCGAAGCAGGTGGGCTCCTTGACGTTTTCTTTAGTTTGTTCTCATCACCCTCCCGGAAGCCTAGTGCAGGTGTGCCCTGACCCCTTCCCGACATGTCCCAACTCCTCACAGTTGTGCATGTTTCTCTTTTAAACAAAGAGATCAGGACTCAGGCTCAGCGTTAGCCAGCCTTCCATTTAACCGAATTATTTCGCCTAAATGACATTGGTTTGGTGTTTGGCAAGGCGTTTCGGTAGTGGTGAGCCCAGGACCCCTGCTCTGTTTGGTCAAGAGCAAATAACATTTTGCTGCGCTCAGCATCAGTTGCTTGGTTTTTCTCCTGGCGGGCAAGATCACTTTCTCCTTCTCTTCCTCGGTTTTGTTTACTTGAGGATTATGGCGGCGTCTGCCCCACTGACTCAGCAGGCGGATCTGAGGATTAAGTGAAGGGGCTTGTGGGCGGTTAAAGTAAGTGTGAACCTTATTCTTCCTGTCATCGTCCGTTGTCATCTGCAGTCCCTGGGGAGACGAGATTAGCCCCATGGTGAAAGCTGACATTGTGGCGGCTTTGGCATTCACGTGCAGTGGAGAAGAGCACAGGTTTGAGTTAAGGCAGTTATGCCCACTCTCAAGAGCACAGCCCAAATATAAATGCTAGGAATAGTTTTAGAAATGTTGCATGATGATCAATTTCTGTAATGCAAGCAGAACAACTAGAAAAAAATCTTTAAGGGTGGAAAGCCATGAGTCATCAATTTGGAGAGTCAACAAACGCTTGAGTTGCCATGGTTAACAGGACATAGTGCAAAAAACGATGATCCTGGGTTAAGTCTGATCTCGGCCTCTCATTTAACTGTGTGACCTTGAGTTAGTTACTAAAACTCTCTGAGCCTGAACTTCCTCAACTATCAACTGGAGGCAAAAATAAACAGTCTGTAGGGTTGGTTAAATGAGTTGGTGTGTGTGACAGTGATCCTGTCTGACTTACTCACTGAACTTAATGTGGGGGCTCACAAATTACTTGCCAGTTGATTGAAGGTATCTGGAAGTCAAACATTCAATTGATGCATCTTATTATTAGCACTTAACGTACGTTAACTTTTCAACACCTTTTTGTTGTGAACATCTAATTGGATAAAGGAAGTGAAAGTTCTGTAACCTGTAAAGCTACCTTTTGCTTGTAAATTTAAGCATATTTTGTATATTCCTACAGTGGTCTTTAGAGGCAGCTTCCATGTTTTCTGTGGCTTTAATATCTCACCGCAGCACTGAATTGAGGGTTCAGCACCAGGGAGTGTTCAGTGATAGTCGATTGAGCCCATATTAGAATCATGAAATCTTAAGGTTGGGAAGCCAGTCCCTTCAGTATTTTAATCCCTTTTATAATGTATTCTGCCATTTCTCATCTTGGTTTTTGTTTGAACCCTTCCAGGGAAAAAGAATTAGCTGCTCCCCGAAGTAGCTCTGTTTGGAGTTCTTTCTTATATTGAATAGAAATCTGACTCTAGATCCATGGTTCCTAATCTAGGATCCATGGAAAGACTTTGGTAACTGGATTATTTATTAACAATTTTGTCTGTATGTGTGCTTTTCTGAGAAGAGAGTCCACAGTTTTAATCCATTTTTCAAAGGGATCTTGTGACACCAAAAACTTAAGAACCTTTGCTCTGATGGTTGTCTTTTTACCCATTCTCTATTTCCCCGTTCCACTTTCTCTAAATTAAAGAAATCTGAGGGCATCTGCTTGATCTGTTTGGGTTGAGCATGCATGTTACTCTCTTGGAGTGGCATGACGGAAATTAGTATATATATAAAAGGCTAATATGCTAAGTGTCCTTCCCACTGTCCAACCGGTCACTATGATGCACACTGATCACCAGGGGGCAGACACTCAACACAGGAGCTGCCGTGACACACACAGAGAATCCATGGACCTGGCGCCGACAAAGCAACACTCGACTTCCTCCAAGTGGGACACAGGCCCCACCACCACTCCGGAGCCACAGCCCACCAAGTTACAGCCGATGCTGCCATGGTGCAAAATGCGGCCCACAGCCCAGCCCAGCTCACAAACAGTGGCTGTGGGTACCGGGTAATGACGTCATGTTTTTGTTGACATTCTGAAGCCGAAATTGTCGACAGAATATGTCGGAAGACCAACTATTGCCACAATGTACCTCTGAAGCCGAAAGAAGCTGCTGTTGTTGACAGAATGTATCTGAAGAAAACTATTGGCACAACGTACCTCTGAGGCTGAAAGAAAGCAACGTCAGAATATGTCTGAAGAACAGTCATCAACAAGTACTACCAATACTGGTAGGAACTGCCTTCATAGCGAAAATGAGGTAAATGAGGATGCAGTTATCGAACACAGTTGTGGCGGAATGACTGTTACATGTCAATTTTGCCTATTCCTAAATTTCTCTGATGAAAAACCATCTGATGGAAAATTTACTCGATGTTGTAGCAAAGGCAGTTTGTCCAAATGATATAAATTTTCCAGAATACCCGGCATATTTAAAAGAATTAATGATAAACGAAGATTCCGACAGTAAACATTTCATGGAAAATATTTGTTGTTATATCATGTGATTGTTTCTTATTAATCAATTTTTATATTATTTTAATGTACATTTTACTAATTTTCTTTCATCTCTGACACTTCTATTATAGACAAAGGGCGAATAGTGATATTAAAATATTTCTTCTAATTAATTTCCTTTCAATATGCATGAATTGGTGCACTGGACCACTAGTGTTATATAACAGCTTGTTTGATGTGGTGTCACCTTCCACAGATCTTGCTCAGCAGACCTGTCAGAACCACTCCTCCACTGGAAGAGGATGGTTATATAGAAGAAATTACAATGGACTAGATGCCAGGGCTCTGTCTTCCAGTTCTGCTTCTGCTCTTAATCAATTTTCAACACAACCCTCTTGCTTTTTGAGTCAATGGTAGCTTACCATATAAAATAATGGAAGGTTTTGGTATTTTAATGTTTATTTCCCTGGTTTAACAATAACAAAAATTTCTGGCTTTGACAGGTTATAAATGTATGTGTATATAGTAGAAAAAAATTAAACTTCAGGATAAGAGCAAGGACTAAATGAGTTACCCATTATCCTATTGTCTAGAGCAGTGGTCGCCAACCGGTGGTCCAGGACCACTGGTGGTCTGTGAGGTCTGAAAGGTTGGCGACCGCTGGTCTAGAGATAACTACTGTTTGACATTTTCTCTTATTTCTGGTCAGTTTACCTTGTGTGTGCTCATGCCCGCACATGCCCACAATGTGTAAATGCATTTAAAATTTGGGATTTTTTGGGGTCAACTTCTTGGGTTTGATCCAACTGCTTTTAAGCTCTGTAGTCTGAATCTGCAAGGCTGGGATTCAGATGCTATATATAGACCTCGTTGGATTGTTATGGAGATTAAACTACATGGTTCTATTATTATTTATTATTGTTATAGATTTGTTCTCTGATATATTTTTTTTCAGTTTCCATTAAAACATGAATATTTTCCTATGGCATTTTTCTTTGAAAGAATATATTTTTTTAAATGGCTACATAATATTTCATCATATAGACTATTAGTGACATTAGTCTTTTTTTCATTTGTTATTTTAAAATTTAAGTAATATGCTCACATGGTTAAAAAAATACATGAAATGAAAAGTAAAAGTCTACCTCCCAGCTCGTCCCTCTTCTATCCAGTTTTCTGACTCCTGTGACCATTTATTACTTTCTTGTGTATCTTTTCAGAATTTCTTTATACCTGCATATAAGATAAAAATGGAACACATTCTTATTCTCCCCTGCCTTTTAAGCCAAAGGTAGCATACCATATGTACTGTCTTTTTTCACTTATCTTGACAATCTTTCCATATCAGTGCATAAGAGAGCTCCCTCTTTTTTGTCTTTTAAGTATCTTCTCAGTATTCTATTGAAAAACATTTTATTTTAAATGATTTAAAGATTTGGGATTGTGAGAGTAGATCCTTTTTGGTTTCATTCCAGGTTGACACACATCTGTCTGACTTTCCAGATTGTCCACTTCTTCACCTCCCTCTGTTGTCACTGGCCCCAGTCTCCCTAGGGCTTCTTTGGCTCCATTGTGGAACCATGCAGAAGCCAGTCGGGAGACAGGAAGTTTAGTCCAGGCTGGACTCATGCCCCATATGCGTGCCTACTCTGGATACTAGTGTCCTTATGTGTAAAGTAAGGGGTTTAACTAGATAATTTCTAATGATTGACTTTAATATTCTCTGATTTGGTTTTAACCTGTGTGCTGACTGGCTACTGGTACCTTTCCCTTAGCAGTGACTGTAGGCTGGGGGATGCGGTCTGAAGAGGAGGTGCCTTGGAGTACAAACTGGAAACGTGTGGGAAGTGGAGCAGGAATAGAGTAGTCCTTTTGTGAAGGAGTAACAGTATTGTGTAAAAATCTGTACACTGCCAGCTTGATCCGTTTACAGTGTTTTGAATGTGTAAGAGTCACATGGGGGAGGTTTTTCTCTATTTGTTAAGATCTCCTGCAGTTTATGTGGAGTTCGTATATTTGACAAATAAGTATTACTAAGTTATTTTTTTAGGGATGGAGAAAGAGTTCTGTGCCAGACATTCCAATGTGGGTGTCTTTCTGATACATATATATGTATATTATTTGCATTTCAGACAGTAGATGATTTGCTGCGGTGTGGAATTTGCTTTGAATATTTCAACATTGCAATGATGATTCCTCAGTGTTCACATAACTGTAAGTATATACTGTTTCTGTGAATTAGTCAAAATGTGATTTTTATGTAAGTTAGTGCTGGGTCCGAGCCCCTCTGCCAGTGACTGGACCTTCTTGAATGCTGGGTATTCAGAGACGGAGAAGCCATGAGGAGTTGTGGGTATATAAGAGAGTCTTTATTGTAGAAGCCAGTAGCCATGTAGCCATTGCTAACAAGGAGCCATTAGACAAAACAGTTCCTTCAAAGCAAAGTCCCATTCAGTAGCCACACAGGCTAGGTAACAACACATCTTTCCCGCACAGTAGCAGTAGCTCTGTACCCACAGCAGCCCCACATAACAGCAGCCTGCCTTTCCTGGGAGCAGCCTCACCAAGCAGCCGCACCGAGCTGGTCAGTAACATCCTTCCTGTTACTTCTTTCCAAATAGTGACCTAAGTCTTTTGGGTTATAGAAGAGCACGCTTGCGCAGTGTACATACAGATTACTGTGGCCTTGCTCGCACCTGTGTGTAGTCCTTGGATACCCTGATTAAGATTCTCATGCTAGGGATTTTTGTCTGATAGTCACATTGAGAACCTGGTAGACTTCTTGGAGTGAAAACACATAAGTGTGAGCCCCTCCTCACTCTCACCCCGCTCCCCAGTATTTGTGTTGCCTTAGGATTTTTAAACTCAGACTGTCCACACCATTTGTCAGTTGCAGTTCAGGTTTTACCCCAGCTCTGGTTCCCATGCAAGTTTCTGAGTATGGGTTTCTACTCTGGTAAGTTGTGATTCTATTTCCAGCCTGATGTCTCCAATTTGGGGGGCAGCAGTTTGCCCTGTGACCTCACTTCTCTGGTGTATCCAAGAAAAGTTGTTGATTTTTCAGTCTGTATGTTGTTTTTCTTGTTGTTAGATAGAGCTATGACTTCTGAGCTCCTTACGTGCTAGACCAGAAACCAGAAGTCCCCTTTTTACCATGGCTTCCCAAAGAACTTAACCCGTTTTTATCTTTTTTATAACTCATTCTTTTGTTTTTCCTCCTGAATGTTCTTACTAAGGCTGGTATGACTTGTTCATTTACTGGCCGTCTGTATCTGAAAGCATACTGTCTCCTCCTCCTTCACTAAACTGAGTCCTTTTTTAAATGAAGCCCCTTCATTAAGCTGAACTTGGCCTAAAAGCACATTGTCTACCAGTATGATACCATTCTATTAATCATATCTATTTTTTCTTTAGGAGAGATCATTTTACACTGCCTTGGGTGTGAAGAATTTAGTTAATGTGAACTTCCTGCTTAAATTGTTAGGACTTATTACACTGTAATTACTTGGCTATTTTGTTAGCTTCTTGAGGTCAAGAACCTTCCATTATATATTGTTCTTTTCTTAGTGTTAGCCACAAAAGTACTTGTTAAATGTGGGATAATGGACATCATTTATAGAGTTAGGATGTAGAAATCCTAACTGTGTGTATATATATCTTATTTCAAAATTTATATGTTAGAATGTTAGTCAGTGGAGATATCTGACATCTAGAATAAAAGTGTGATATGCAAATTGACTAAACGGCCAAACAGCAGAACGACCATCCCAACAACCGCGCTATGACACTGGCTGGCGCCAGGCCAGCCAAGGCGGGTGTGATTGGTCGGGGGCCCGGCCATCGCCCCATGATCACCAGGCAGAGGGAGGCCCAGGCTACTGGCCGGCGGGGCAATCAATCGGGGAACTCCACGATTGCCCCAAAGAGGGAGGCCCAGGCCACCGACCGGTGGGCTGTGGCGGGTGGATGGGGCCTCCCTCTGCGGGGCATGATCGATCACCCCAAAGAGGGAGGCCCAGGTTACCCTGCTGTGGTGGGTTGTGAGGGCCTTACTCTGTGGGAGTGATCCTTCGCGGAGCCCTGGCCGAGTGGGCAGGGCCTACCTCTTTGGAGCAATCGATCGCGGGGCTTCTGGACTGTGAGAGGGTACAGGCTGGGCTGAGGGACACGCCCCTCCCCTGAGTGCATGAATTTTGTGCACCGGGCCTCTAGTGTTTATATAATATCCATTCCAGGTCTTACATGTATGTTTCCTACATTTTACAGATGGAGGATATAGAGAGTGATGTATTTTGCTTATGGAGTTGTAATGCTCTAGGGACTCATGATTATTATTATTTGACTAGGGGCCCGGTGCACAAAAATTTGTGCACGCGGGGGGGGGGGGGGCCCCCAGCCCGGCCTGTGCCCTCTCGCAGTCTGGGACCCCTCGGGAGATAACGACCTGCTGGCTTAGGCCTGCTCCCGGGTGGCAGAGGGCAGGCCCAATCCCTAAGTGCAGCCCCTGGTCAGGCTCAGAGCAGGGCCGATTGGGGAGTTGGGGCGCCGCCCCGTCATGCACAGAGCAGGGCGGATCGGGAGGTTGCAATGCCACCCTCAGTCACGCTCAGGGTAGGGCCGATTGGGGGATTGG